TAGGGACCCTATTATAATTTAAGGTATATTCCTTAATTAAGGGATTTTGGAAGGTCTGGGTGGATCTGCCGTCAGGAGCTGCCAGACTTCAGAGGATACGAGTTCCTCAGGCGAGGGTTCAGGGTTTCAAGGTTTCTATTCCCTTATAAGGTTTAGGAGTTAGGTTTTAGGGGCATTCCTGAGAGTCCAGTTGTAAACGGGCGTTAGGGGGTTTTACGGTTTCTAGGGTTTAAACTAAATATAAGCTTTGAGTTTTAGGGTTCAGGGTGGCTTATGGTGCCTTCCCGACGGATCCTACATGCCCTTAGCTGCTGTGATGCTCGCGTGTCCATCTGAGCATGAATTGCCATAGTATGACAACGATCCTTCTTATAAATGCAGTATACTATCGTACCCCAAACCCGCTTCTAATCGACAAGGCGCCGATATGAATCCATTGCCTGCTCGCGACCTGCCAGGACCCTGGCGTGCAGTGGCAATCCTCTCCGAAAGCTTCCGCCAAATCCCAGCAGCTGCGATTGCTGCGAGGATTGCATCCGTAAACCTGTACTACGCCTTAAAACCTAAACCCCATTCAGGTTGGGAAAAGCCCTCGCATGCAGGCCTTGTAGGCAGAATTGTGTTGCTGCACACAGCAAATCCCATAAAATTGAAAACCGGATCAATACCAAATAGTACTGGGATTCCCAATACGTTGCTCTTAAGGGCTGAGGCTCTTGGGTTTCCACCTTTTGGGCTTCTGCCGTAATCGGATTTCCTTCTGAAATAACTTGTCCTTTTTGAAACCGTCATGTCCTTGTCAGAATTTGATGTACAACTACAGCATACCTCTGAATTCAGAGCTGCAACACCGCGCATAATGCACACCTGCAATATACCCGAACGAGCCGGTACACCTGCAGGACACGCCGGGTACAAAGAGGACCTCACCTGCCAACGCCTGCGGCAGACCGACTATTCACTTTGGGCGGCGACGTCGGCCCATTGCTCTGCACACCTGAAATGGCAAAGGCGAAAAAAGTAGCAAATATACCCACCTCCAGACCCGATCCGACCATTACAGGGCCCCTGCAGTACCAGGTTTTTGACCGCTGCCAGACAGATGCAGAGATTAAGTTCCTCCGTGAAATGGCTGCCGATTCGCAGGGTCTCGCCTGAGCCTGGCTCAGTGATTGCCTCCTGAATCCGACCTATAGTCTCCATTGTAGCTCCTTGTTTTGGTTAAACCGAATATGTAATTGGGATCCTATAAGGTAGCCCTCCTGAATCCGACACCTTAAGCCGTTTAGCAAGTCCCAAAAAGTCTACATCCGGAACCTAAATCCTACACCCGAAACCCCAAACCCTAAACTTAAGCTGCTGGTACCGACTCGTCAAAGCACACAGCACCAGACTCGTCAGGCATGTCCGAGTTGCGAGAGCGTAAAGCTAAGCCTAGAAATCACGGGGTTTGAGCTCAGAGCTGGGTCCGAACGAACTCCGCATGAGGCTGCCGAGCGGATGCCGACAAAACAAAAGATCGGGAGTGTCTGGAATTTAGGATTTAGGGTTTGCTGTAGAATAGAATAGGATAGTATAGGACAGGCTGTAGGGTTTAGGGTTTAGGGGTTCGAATGCCTGGGAGAGAGGGTTTAGGGTTTACCTGTAGCCGGAGAGACCTACCTTTTGAGGGTTCCTTATCATGATTTCTGAACATAGTTCCTTAAAAAGGTAAGTCTTTTCGGCTACAGGTAGGGTTTTGGGGCGATGGATTGCCAGAATCGATCTCGGTAGTAGGGTTTAGTGCATTGGGGTTTAGGGTATTTGCTGAGTGCTTTGCAGTCCCTGCTCTTTAGGGTACCATATTAGGGTCCCCTATTTCCGGAAACCCCCAGATCTTCAAACCCAGTCTGAAACCGGCTGCTGTAATAAGGGTAAGCCCTTGGAGCAGCCCCAGTGTCCGAGCCGGTCTCAGTTAAACCCTAGCTAAACCTGGACCCTGAAAAGTCTACTTTTTCTTTAAGGACCTATGGGTGGTTGTCAAAATTAGGGTCCCTTTTTAGGTAGCCTAAATATTAGGTGCCGTATTAAAATAAGGACCCCAAAAGGGACCCTAATCTTGACAACTACCCCTATGTAAAGAAATCAGAATGGGGAGCCCCAAAAAGTTGAGGTCTGCAGCCCGATAAAGTCGACCTACTTAATTTAATTGAAGATCCTCAACCGTACACCCTGAACGCCCAGGAGGCAACTGCTTTCGGACTCACTGCGAAGAGGAAGAGGGTCGCTCAAAAAGAGACCTGAAATCGAAATTCGATTGCTAGACCCGAAACCCTGAACCCTAATGCTAAACCCTAGAAGCCCTCAATAAACCTCACTGCTAAAGCCTAAACCATGGCTCTGGGAGGCTTTTAACGCATGGCTCCTGGAATCGCTGAGCTTCTGCGAGGCCGGCTGCTGCGGCTCAGGTGTTTTGGACCTAGCTTAGGGTTCAGGTGTTCCCCGAACCCGAAATAAGAGCCGTTTTTCGGGTTCTTTATGACGCTTTCTATAGGTCCTTAAAGGTGCAGTTCTTTGGCGGGGTTCAGGGTCCAAGAAGTAATTACGCTTTCAATTCTAGAGAACTCAACATATTGTTGTTTACGGTTTTTCCTTTCTTGGGCACTCTGGGTAACGGCTGATATGAGCAGCACCTTCCAGCTGTAGGATGCAGAGATGCCCCCGCTGCCGAGCGCGCGCGGAGAGGACACTGTAGTGCACATTGTGAGCGAACTTCTGTTTCCCAAAAGGCTCCATGTACTCTTAAAGTAGATACTTAAGCCTTAAAGGAGTCCCCATGTAGATTCTTTAAGGCCTAAGTATATACTATATGGGTACATGGAGCCTTAGGGTTCAGAGGTGCTCTGTAGCGCTGCAGGCGTTGAATATTTTTGCAAGAAAGTTAATTACACCTCAATGGATGTTGGAAGTCTTCGGAAGCATTATGTAACCCGGAGCACCCTTCTAAAGTTCCAACTGGCCACAATGAATGGTCCTGCTTGCACTAGGTGCTTACTGTAGTAGCGTGAATCAATCGATTGTCATGTCAAGCGGCTATGGAATGTGTGGTTCAGATAATCATACGGTTAAAGGGTTCAAGGCCGCACCTATAATTAAATCCTGAACCCTAAACCTTTAACACGTGCCTCACCTCGAGTTTCCGATTTGCGAGCACCACAACCCTAAACCGTGAAACCATGCCGGAGCGATCACTCAAAATCTGCTGACTGAGCTGTTAAGCTGCCAGCTTGCGTTGCCAGCCCAAAGCCTTAGAAGGTTTGGGGTTCAGGGTTCAGGGTTGAGGGTGTAGGTAGTATAATATAGGGGCCGTAATAATTATCTATACTATGGAGGTTCCTTATTATAGTTCTAGTACAATGGGCCCCAAAGCCTTATTCTAATTATTCAGGCCCCTATATTACGGCTTAACCCACAACTCAACTTTATGGCTCCATTCCGTTAGAACTCCTTGGGGTGAATGCTTATGCACCATCATTCGCATGAATCAGCAATTGCTGCAAATGTGGCTGTAAGAAATACAAGCACCAATCATAATTTGCAACTTCGTTTTTTGGGGGTGGGGGTTTAGGGAAAGCTTCTCACATGTAAATCCTTAAAACCCGAAATCCTTGAACCTTGCCCCGCATCATGTAAGTAGGCCCGACGCCCATAAACAATTGAATCCTTCAACTCGCTGGAGCTTGTCGTGCTGAACCGGCCAGCCCAAACCCCAAAACGACGAAGTTAATCAACATGGTACTTGGTTAGAGGCCCAGGGGACTGAGTAAATAGGTTATAAGTGCGCTAAATGGAATTACCCCAACTATGAGCCTACTTATAACCTACTTACTACGCCGCATGGACCTCCAAGTATCTAAGGAAGACGAGCTGCACCCTTAACCCCTAACCCCCAAAACCCTTATCAACATGTTACGTGCAAGAGGACTCAGCACCCTCCGACGCACTGCTAACCTGGGTGACGCTGCGCGTCCCGTACCACTGGCCAAGCTCGGAGGCGCCTTTAAGGGTTCCCTTTAAAGGGGCCATGAGGGTTACTATAAGGGGTATTATACGCGTTTAGTATAGGGGCCTTAGTAAATGCCTCCACTATTTTGGGGGGGTTCCTTATTATAGTTATAGTATAATGGGCCCCAAAGCCTTATTCTAATTATTAAAGCCCTTAAGTTCGACTTAAGGCTCCGTTTGGAGATGGTGGCTCATTGCATTGGTGTGGTGCTGTGTTTGGGCATTTACGTGGTATTTTGTTTTGTATACCTGGGCAGAGCAATCGTGGATTAGATAGTCAAATTCCACACGTGATGGTTGTGCATCCAGCTAATGACGTGGACATGGTTGCACTGGCTATGCAGCAGATACTGGTATGATAGTGAGGCTATGCATGCGTGAGTTGTGCTATGTATATCGGGACCATGCCCTTAAACATGTCATGTAAAGGAGCACGGCAGGCATGCAGCCTAATTACGATAGGAATCATGTTTCAGCTGAGTTTCAGCTGGGTTGAGGAGCACGGAGTAAGCATTTATTGTGTTTCTGCAAAGATGTATGGGCTGATGTGCTGAGTAGGGTCAGGATCTTCGGGGTAGTGTGGTGGGGCTTGGGTGCTTGAGTTGCAGACCGCAAATGCTTACTCATCTCTACTCCTCTTTCCCTAGGGATCAAAATAGCCCAAAAGCCTACACAGTGTGGTCTTTGGGCCCAAGAGCCTTAATAGATGAGTCCTTAGATCCCTAAACCCAAATTAGAGATCCCTTTAAAGGACCCCTTATAGATCCCTTTAAAGGAGCCCTATATGAGTCCTTAGATCCCTAGGGCTTCGGGATACAAGGAGGGTCTAGCAACCTTGAGCCGACCCCTAATGCAGGCCCAAAGTTTCTGAATCTGATTCCTACATTATTATAGTACCCTTATAGACCCCTCATTTAGGATTTAGGATTTAGGGTTTAAGATTTAGGATTTAGTAGCCCTTTTAGACCCCTTTAGAGGAACCCCATGCAGCTGCTTTGCCAGGATCTTCCGACTGCGCGGCGGCACTTGGATCAGTTTTTGGAGGACCGGCCTTGGATACATGGAAGTTTCCGAAAATAGGGGCACCTGATTTTGAGAGTCCTTATAATGAGGATCTTCGTATTTAGGGTGCTATATTAGGGTCCCCTATTTTCGGAAACTCCCATATGAGCTCAAGCACTCGCAGGAAAGTCCTACATAGGGTCTAGGTTTTGGCTGTAGGGCTCTAGGGCTTAGAGGGGAGGGTTGAGGATGAGTCAGAAGTGCTGGGATGTCTTATATACTTTACCTGCAGGGCGTCAGGTTCATGGTCTGATGAATTGGTAATACTGTCTTTTTATACTCTCTGTGTCAGCATATCGTACTCTACCCATTTCAAGCCTTGTTGAAACTAGTAAGATCCCTTAATTGGTTGCGTCTCGGGGTTTAGGTTTTTACGGGCCCACTGGGCTTGCGGACTCGGGCCTTTTCCCCTAGGCCCTAAGCCCCAGGTCCGCAATTCAGAAGCCTCAAAAAACCGACAGCTTGAACCATCGACTTACCTGCAGTCTCCATTCTAGTCCCTTGTTTGGGTTGCCTTGAAGGATCCAAAATCTAGAATTAGTTAAACCACAAAAAGGAGCGACAATGAAGACGGTAGGGATTCTCCCCGAACCCTAAATTAAACCCAAGCCCTCAGTTGAAGAACGAAGTTACACACGTCCCAGTGAGCCTTTTGTCAGCAACCAGCTGCCAGAGCACAAAGGAAACCCGTTGTACGATCCTGCGACAGCCCCGGAGTCTAATGAAAGCCTTTTGCAAGCCTGATACTACGAACTTATACGGCCCAGAGCATCGCCGCAGCCAGGCTCTTTCCCGGCCATCTGCGGCATGGCCCGGCGTGGCATCCGAGGTGGTTGTTGCTGCAGCGGCGCCGCTGCGAGCAAGCCAGGAAGGCGGATCCTGGAAATTCGCTCATAGATATATATATATATATATATATATATACATATATATATATACATATATATATATATATATATATATACATACCGCCTTGTAAGGGGCGGGGGTGTAGCGTTTAATTGAAGTCTAGGGCCTTAGGGCTCAGGTTTTTGGGATTCAGGCTGGCTTTCAGGGACTAGGCGTGTTGCATTACGAGCAAGAGAGTGTATTACGTTTTTGTAGCTGGAATATGCACTTCTTGCAAGTTTCCGTTGAAGTTTCGGCGTTTGTGTTGTTCGCGGTTGGGGTTTGGCTGGGCAAGCTTGGCTCGACGGTTTCAAGGTTGTCTGGTTTGGGTTGGAAGTGCTTTGTATCCGTTGGGCATGTTGAAGGGCTCGAGATTGTTCTGACATCTACAAAGCTCCCTAAGCCGTACTCCCTACCTGGACCCTCAGGAACCTACCTTTTTCGGGCCCTCTAATATGATTTCTTTATATAAGTCCCTAAAAAGGTAGATTCCTTAGGGTCCAGGTAGACTCTAGAGTTCTCATTGGGGGACACGGTTTTCGGGGTTCAGTAGGAGGAACTTTGAGCCAGACAATCTTCTTTGGAAGCGAAACATATAGATAGCGTTAAATGTAGAGGTCTGGCAAATCAGGAATTTCGCTCCCTGGTTTCCATTTTTGTATGTGTTGAATATATATATATATATATATGTATATATATATATATACATACCCTGAAGCCTGATCCATTTGTAGGGCTGAAGGAGGCTTTCCCATTTTGGATTTTACATTCATGGTTTTCAAGTCAGGTGAAGACGTGCAATCTGCGGATGCAGACAAGGCCCTGGACTCGGTCCTTGACTCTTAGCACCTGTGTCGTAAACCTTACCTGAACCCGTTTACCCAGCCCACACATCCCCTAGCTCAAAGGCCTGAACATGCTACACCATTCTTGGGACACTTCTCGTTTTCCTTGTCCAAACCCGAGAAACCCTACAAGTCCCTACACAGAAAAGCCCAGAACCCTGAGACTTGAAGTTCTAGAGTCACAGGAAATCTGCCGGGATCCACCTCATCTGTACTGTACTGCAGAGTAAGCTCCACTTGAATGGGTCTGTCAAGTGGCTCTGTTCCCGTCAAGCATCCACCAACTTCATGGTCAATTGGCTGGCAAAAGGTGTGCCCGAGGCTTGACCGTCTGCATCTCGGTGTGGATTACGGCAGCCCCACCCACTCTCGTGCCCCAACGCCCTAAGGGCTCAGCATCACGAGCATCAGCCGACAGCCTTCCACATCATGACAGCAGGCGCCCAAGCCTGTTTTGGAAGATCCCCAAGTTTGACGGGTCTCTGAACATTCTTCACTTCAAAGACTCTGGTAAACCCTGAACCCTAAAACCTTGACCGATTCTTCCCGAGAGGGAGCATTGGAATCATGAGCCATCAGCGAGCCACGGTGCCTGCAACAGCTACAGCAGCGGCATCAGGCCGAAAACATGCGGGCATCATTCGCATCAGTCGGCCAGCGCTGCCCTACAGCTCCAGAAAGATCATTAGCGCGGCCGGCCGTCAGTTGCCTCCGAGAGGGGGTTTCAGTTTCAGTATTTCCCGGACGGCCGCCGCATGGCCAGCATCATCAGCATCACACGGCCATGGCCGGCATCCGGCAGTGGCCACCAATTAGGCCATCATCATCTGCAACTTTCCTCTGCAAAACTGGAGCAACTGGGCCGGCATCATGAGCATCAGCTGCGCGTGTTTTCTTGAAACTCGCATCATCATGAGCAGCAGCCGTCAACACAAAAGGTACTATCAGCGGCATCAGCAGGCTTTTCCATCCAGTCCGCAGCATTGCAGGCAACTAGTCCTAGGTGCGGATCGGATAACTTATTTCAGATCTCATCGTGCAAATGCTGTTGCGCCAGCTACAAACTTTCAGCTGGGCAACAACTCCGACACTAACAGCGCGAACTTGCTACAATCCTACACTCTTTTCGCAAGACTTGGAGTCGGACCGTCGTCGATGTCGGCAGAAGTATTGGACCCTTCGGGTTCAGATGCATTTCTCCGGACCAATTCACAAAGCCCAGGAAAATGCATTACACGGGCGCAAAGATGCCGAAGCCCAAACTCCAGCCCCTGGACCCTGGACACCCGACCCAAAGCCGAGAAGTACCCGTAATTCCTAAACCTGCCCTCTAGACCACGGTACACTAAAGGCTTCACCCTGCTGACTCTGCTGATTCTTTCAGTCGGAAACTCTGTTGAAGTGATAGCAGTTTGCCAGCTTCTAAGCTACCAAGATTCTCAGTCAGCCCTAGAAACCAGAGGGTCCAATTTGGTGGTCCGAAGAAGTATTACTGTCAACAGTATCCCCTGCTAGGCATTCTGTGGCCTACATGGTTACACTACTACAATATGCCCCGAAAGCCCGTAAGACACCGTAACTGAATCGTTTGATCTTGATTTGTGATGTTTCTCCTAAGATTCTACTGCTCACAATTCGAATGGATAGGGTGCCAAAATGTTCCCGTGCTAGATTTGACAGTTCTATTTATTCCCATTCTCATCGTTCAAGCCCTATTCTAAAACCGGAGACCTTTGACCCGTATCTCCACTTAAGCTCACCTTCAGGCCTGGCGCTTGTGCTGCGTGGCTCGACGGGCTCTCAGGCCCTTAAACAGTAATGCCCAACCGAAACCTTCCCTCCTGCACCCACCTGCACCCCTAGGTTTTAGGGTCCAGGTAATGGCGACTTCGGAAACCTCAGCTATGAGATACTTACGTTTGTGCGCGGTTTCGTGTTTTTTGCGTTGGGATAAGACAGGGCGTGGGTTGAGTAGAGGTTGCATCGGGTTTCACGTAAGCTTTGGTCTGTGTCCATGTGGAGCTTTCGCTTAGAGGTTCTGAGAGTCAGCAGCTCGGGAGAAGCAACTCAAGACTGCACCTCAAATGCAAGCCTACGTTCCTTTGCTTGCCTATGTCTGGTGAACGAGAGGCCCCTGTTGGCAGCGACACTGGCGCCCCAGCTGAGGAAGTTCGAAGTGGCTCTGGCCGGCTCGGGGATGGTTCGAAACAGAACAGTACTACAGTCAGTGGCAGCAGTAGCGCATGCTTTGCTGAGACCTCAGAGATTGTGCTCCCTGTGTTGCTATGCGACACAGGCAAAGCCGTCTCCATGAAAACAAGTTCACTAAAAGAGTATCCTAGTAACTCCTAGTTCAAGCCAGCAGCAACCGAACATCAGCAACGATATCGAGGGTTTTCATGCCCAGGAGCTTTGAAACCGTGAACCGTAGATCTTGCAGCCAGTTCTGTTAGCATCCCAGCACAGAGTCCCTGCAACATGAGCTTTGCCCCAGAGTCCCGGTTAGCCATGTCCTAGGCCACTTTCCTACATTACTGTGCTGTCTTTTGTAGTAACCCAGTAACATCCCTAAGCCCAATAAACCCAAAGCCCTCTCTGGAACCTCGCCGGGCTTGTCCGAGATGTGTGAGCGTAAACCCTATGGCACTCCTATAACCCTATATATAAAGCCCGAAGCCGCAGATCCCACCGTCCTTAGCTGAAAAACCCTCAAACCCTGTCCCTGGAGGCCAAGCTCCTGGAGGAAGCTAGGGAGAAGCTCTCCAGCGTCGAGCAGCAGCTTTGCCCCAGCATCTCGGGTCGTAGCAGACCATGGAGATGGGTTTAGGGTTTAGCTGGGGATTCAGAATTCTTGGGAATTCGGACGTCCTGGTGTTTTGTCTCTCTCTTTGCTGTGATACTTGGAAGAGTTTAAAATGGATGGGTGATGATTTCGCATGTCTTAGTGTGGGTGTAATATGGCTTGTTCGAGGCTTGGGCCAGCTTGCGTTACATTCCATCAAATCTCGGGTCGTGGCATCTCCTCTGTTGTCAAATGCCCACCTTGTTGTTCTTGGTAGGTGTTGCGTTTGCCGCCGCGCGGGGTGGTGCAATTCCTCTGCTGGCATGCGCTGAAACTCGAGTTTCGGCACTTTTTTCACCTGACATTTAACTTTGCTTTTGCTTTCGCATCGGTTTTTGCAGTGTTTTCTACCAAAAAAGTGACCGCGCCGGCGGGCTCCACTCAGCAAACTTGTGTTCGGCTTTGCATTTCGCATCGTTTTTTTCGGTGTTTTTCTGTCTCTCTCCCATTTCCCATCGGTTTTTGCAGTGTTTTTGCCGACTCTCGACTTGCTGCACATGCCGGCTTCGACTTGCATTTGTCTTTCAGCTCTGTGCGGGGCTTGGGGGGGCGGGGGGGGGGGGGGGGATGATGACGTCCATGCGAACGCGGCTTGTGTCTTCTGTTTCTCTTGTTGTTTCCTATGTGTCGCATTTCGCATTGGTTTTTACGGTGTTTTTGCCGATTCTCGAATTTGTGTACATGCCAGCTTAAACTTGCAAGTTGTCTTGCAGATCTGTGCGGGGGTGGGGGGTGATGGGGGGGGGATGATGACGTCCATGCGAATGCGGCTTGTGTCTTCTGTTTCTTTGGTTGTGTTACTTCTCAAACGCTACCAGTTGCTATGTCCCTTGGTGCTTCCCGTTTCTTGTTGCTTCACTTTGGAAACGTCCACCATGCAAAAACCTCGAGTTTTTTCAAGCTTTCCAGACAAACACTTTCAAAAAAAGCCGGAAAATCAACATAAATCAAACACGAAAAACACGGTATTTGCGATAGAAGAACTCCACAAATTTTGCCCTCCGATACATCGTCTTGTTCATGAAAACTACGCAAAAAGCCGGGTTTTCTAGCTTTTTGAGCAAAAAACTTCCCAAACATAAACGACACACCCCGCGCGGCGGCAGACGCAACGCCTTCCTTGTTCTTGGGACTTTGAGCCACATTGAGCAGCCTGCATGCCGGCAGAGCCACACAGTTATGCCTCCAGACCTACTTCCGACACCGGGAATTGCAAATGAGATGTGTTCACTGTTTTTCTAGAAATGATAGCATTACCATGACTGTTGTTTCTGTTGTTGCTGTTGCTACTGTTATTGGAGTGAGATATACTATTGCTACCATTAATGCTAGTATTGCTATCAACACGTGGGTTTAAGTAAAGACCCTGTTATAGAGATTTAAGAGCTGGTGGCCCTATATGTTGGATTCACTGTAAAACAATAAGGAATAAATTTTAACGATAAGGTTTCTGTTTTCTCTGTCAGAATATCTCAGCATGGCAGGGATGTACAAGTAATGCAAAAGAACCCTCAAACCCCAAGTAAACGCAGCAGACCTTTTAAAAGCAGCAAAGCTGCTTCAAGAATCCTGCAGTGTTGGTGCTGAGTCATATTTAGTTTTTTTTTGCCTGTGGTTCTTGTGGTCATAGGAAACAAGACGAAAGAGTCCTCGCCACCCGACAAGAGCCCAGGTCAGACTAGCAGACGCCTGAAAGCCAGCCGCTAATCAACAAATCCACATCGTTGGCATTCGAGAACTGTGCTTCCAACTTCCAAGTGTGGCAAGTGTATATCCGGACCCCAAAATCGGTTCGCGGTAGTGAGGTTTAAACGATAACCAAAACGATAACCCGAACGACAAGGTTTGGCATCAGAAACTGTGCTTTGCGAACACTTGATCATGTTTGTATAAAATCAGTACTAAAACGATAGGAAGCATCCGGATCGAATGAATTCGTGCAAAGCGAGTGCGCATTACTATTACCACTACTCTTATCAGTATTGTTACTGCTGATATGAACACTACCAACATTATTACTGTTATTCTTACTGTTGAACCTTCATTGTGAATGTATTGGTATTGTTAGAACTACTACAATGGCCATGACAATTGCGATTAATCACTGTTGCTATTTTTGTTACGATGACCATTACTATTCCCAGTACTATTGCTATCACGACTAATCACTACCACTCACTATTACTATATACCATCACCGTCACTATCACTACTACCATTTCCATGACTATTGCTATTGCTCTTATACTTACTACTGCTAAGCTGTTTATAACTATTAGCTTCTCAGTTTGCCAGTAGCCCCCTTTTGCCCTTTCTATTGTATGGGCTCCCTGATTGAAACTGCATACAAGGAACAACTCCACCATTCTGGTCAACGGGACACTGCGGAACCAGGCAATATAGAAATATTGCTATTGCAATTATAATAATTACTCGTAATTTAGTGCTGCTACTAATAATGCCTCAATCAACAAGACCCCAAAGGCTTTGCCAAGGACTGAGGCAATCATTCGATGTAGCCGTTTAGATACACATGGCTCGGGGCTTGTAAAACGATAAGGAATAAAATAAACGATAAGATTTCAAACAGGGATAGGAATCCGCGACTGGTTTTTTTTGCAAACCCACGTTGCTGTTGTTACTGTTATTTGTTGAAGGTGTCGACCTGCAAGTGAACACGGCGCCTAGCCAGCAGAAAGAAGCCGCGAGAGACGCAGCCGGGCAGGCCGAAGGTCTGAAAGAGGGTCCCCCCCGAAGGGGGTAGATCAGGATTTAGGGTTTAGAGCATGGGTTAAGGATCTGCTGTTGAGGGTTCAGATTGTCATTGCCATTCAGGTGTCGTGCGGGGGCCACACAAGAAACGAAACCCGGGACCTAGATTCTAGAGATGTAGTTGTAACTCTTTAATGCTCAACTCTCAAACTTTTTGGGCTCCTACGTACCGTGCAACTTAAGACTTTTTGTGGTGGCATGGGAGAGTGCGTTTAAAATTTAGATAGAGCCCATAATGATGGCGCACTGGCCTGCTATGCTGTAAGTTTTCTGTCGAGGCTATCGGTAGAACCAAACCCTGTAATGCCGAAGTCCGAGGGCCGAAGCCTGAAACCCGGGTTCCCGGGGTACCCTTGAGCTGCTTCTTTAATATAGGGGCCTAAATAATTACCTATGCTATTCTGTGGGGGGGTTCCTTATTATAAGTATAGTATAATATACCCCCAAATCCTATTACCAGTCTGGGGGTTCCTCATTATTGGTATAGCAGAATATACCCCTAAACCCTAAACCCCCAAACCCTATAGTCTAATTCTAAAGGAAGGCCCCCGATAGTACTCCGAGGACTCACCACCCGGCCGACTTGTCCTGGACCTCCGTGGCGAGCTGCCCGCCAGGGCCTACAGACCTGGTGGTTGAGCTTGGGTTCACGCGGTTTTGGGAGTTTTTATTCTATGAATGTTTCAACATGGGTCATCAAGAAATATATGTCATAGGCTATAGGTGTTGTATAGGTGTTGCGGTGTAAAAGAAGCATGGTCTTTGTCGCTATAACTATGTGGGTCCTAAGCAATGTAGCTTTAAGCAGAGGAACAAAGGGTTGTGTTCCATGCTGAGAGCTGCAGCTATGTGTATTGGGTGCTCAAGCGAGGAAGAAGGGCTTTGGAGATACGGGTGACGAAAATCCTGCTTGTCCCAGCAGGCTTGCGGAGATTCTCCTATTGGTGTTTCCCACTCCTGCGGAAAGGCTTGTTTCGGGGCCTTCTTTTGACAAGAGGACTGCTTCAACAAAGGGAAGAAATCACAACTTTCAGGCAACGTGATGATGTTGTTTGTAACTATTCAGGTCGCCAAATATGTGTGCATATAACGTCTGTACATGAACAGAAAGCTTCGACATTGAACGTGCTAAAACTTCGATAGCTACTTGTAAGGAGGTTTCTTGATGCTATGAGACAGGGAAATCACCTTTGAAACCTGGGTGGTTGGTACATAGAGTATTGATGCAACTTCCCTTATTCCCATGCGACCCGAAGCATCCGACCACAAGTAAGTATACTAAGTATATCCCGTACGCGCCGTCACTGCAAAGCATCCGGTCTACCAGCATTCTGCCGGGTATTGCCTGATACCAGTTAAAAGTTCACCACTATCCGCAAGCCCTTTGGATGCTTCACATGGATTGCTCGAACTCAATAGCTCCACCTGAAGCTTTATAAAACCCTACATCCTGCGTGCTTTACATATATATCAAGGATAAGACAAATTTTCTTTCCATCAGCAGCACTCTGCAGCTTTAGCCAGTCTTTAGTGTTATCGCAGCCGGAGTGCGAGGCGGGAGTGGAAGGCAAACTTCCATTGAGGCCCAGCCTGGGTTCTTGTCAAGGGATTTGTTTTATGTTACCAGAAGAAGCAAACCATATTTTTACGATAGATCCCTATTAAGGTAACATAAAGCAAATTCCTGAACAAGGGCCCAGCAAGCAGTGGAATTGGAGAGGCGCATAGGATTCCCAGAATGTTGAGTGTGGCACAAAGTCCGGCCGGTGCCGTCGAGTCTTCTTTCGCGGAGAGTCATGTTTTGTGGTGTACCGGGTTAAGCGTTCAGCAATTTCGAGGTTCGCGGCCGCTTTCTTTGCTGAGCAGTTTGGTGAGGAGGCTTTCGGCTTAGACCGTAGAGGTTTGCAGAGTATGTCATACCAGATTACTGTAGCAAATGCACTATGTCAACATGTGCTATACGTAGGGGCCGGGGAGATGTGGGACATTGAACATTCGATTATAATCGAGTCTATAGCTGTAGACTGCATTTAGAGTTTTTGTGTCTAAGAAGGATGTCTTTAGACTTTCCCGACATCTCAGAACACATGTAGACAATGGTGTCCGTGATAAGGGCGGCATTTCAGGTCACCAAGGCTTTCCATCGCCCTGTATTCATATTTTGGACTTCTCATTTCGAACGTTTCGACCAGACGTGCAATCTGAGATATCGTGACAGGCACGAAATCCACGCAGAGCATGCAGAGAAGTTGAAGCGGTTTTTCGCCAAGGACAGACTACGGGTCTGCGCCTCCGTGCACGGAAACAAAAATGCAGGATGTGCAAGACATCGACTACATAAACATGTGACAGTGACACTTCTTGCAGTGGATGCTGTGCTTCTTCCACTTTGCTCCTGTAGGAGAGTTTGTCAGTTTGCGGGTTTCTTCGACTCGGTTCCTTCCTTCAGCCAGTCACGCAGAAAATCGATACACTGTTTTAAGTCTTACTAAGCTTCAAGACCCTCAAAACCGTCACAACCAAAGTCCCGAGCTCCAGGAACCTGCAAGCACCGATAGAGTTGCAGTCATTGCTTCAACACATGTCCATTTGCTTTATAAGCAACTGGGAGTCAACTAGAATCTAGACTCTAAACCCCACAGCCCTTTCCCTGCACCTTGAGGATTAGGACCCCTAGACCCTGAACATCCTTCAACCGTAAACCCTTAAACGATCACAAAGCGAGAAGTGTACCAAGTCGAAACCCTTAAACGATCGAAGCCCTGAGATGCAGCAGTAACCCTCCACGGGAGGAGACCTCGGGCGACTTTAATACGAAGTGCTGGGATCCTCGCTTGCATGTAGCTTGCTTACAGGGCGTCTTCTCTGTTGAAGCAAGGGAACCTTGTTCATGAGACCCGATGATACCACAAACAAAAGACATGAATGTATAGTATAAACAACGGTGTATGTGAATATGTATGAAATACCTATATACACATGTACGTACATATACACATACATGTGTATGTATCTGTCTATTTTGTAATGATACATAGACCAAGCCTATAAACCGACTACTCGATGCATACATACATACATACATACACACACGTACGTACCTACATTCCTACATACATACATACGCACATACATACAGACAGACATCCATACATACACATAAAGAAACATTTACAACATGTAGAAATACATACATACATACATATATACATATGTATATGTGTATATATATATATACATATATATATATATATATGTGTGTGTGTGTGTGTGTTTATATGTATGGATAATATGGACACGCACGCATATATATATATATATATGTATGTATGTATGTATGTATGTATGTATACACATGCAAGTCTGCACGCATAGTCCCTATTGATAGGCTTCCTGTTTGAGCCGCCTGTTTTTCAAGCCGGTAGATTGGTTTGGGTGTATGGGTTTCCTGTCCGCATAGGGCGTGGGGGTTTGGGCCGTTGAGTGTTCGTCATACGAAAGATGAGGAGCCTATCCCTAACCCGTATAAACCCTAATCATGAGTTGTAAAGAAAATTATAACCCCTAAACCCTAATCACGAGTTGCAAAAAAACTTTTCATAACCCCTAAACCCTAATCATGAGTTGTGGTCAGGAGGACCGTGCCGAGCCATACTCGGGGATGAAGGTGAGATCGGCAATCCCCGACATGTTAAGCTTCCCACTTCAATGTGATGAGCAAGGCGGCTTTCTTAAACAGAATTGAAACTGCCGCTGCATGCTCTCAGGTCCTCCTCACGCGCTATCGCGCGCTGTTCGGTCCGCACGATGAGGACGACTTGCAGACGTATTCACGCTTGCGTTGAAACTGGCCGCACGATATTCGGTGCCTTAAATACTTCTTGTTGTCACTTCATCAGTTGTAACAATGACCTGAAATGGGCCTGTTCATAAGCTTGGACATGTTTAAGCTTCGCATTGTAGCTTGCTGGTAGAGCCGCTTCGTGGGCACCATCGTACCCGAACAATCAAGCTAAGTACAGGAGTTGGAACAGCAGCAAGAGCAGCCATGTCCAATGGATCCAGATAACCCTTAACTCCCAAACCTAGAACCCAAAGCCCTGAACTCTACAGAAGCAAACGTAATTATAACTTATGACCTATACAACTGAAGATCCGAAATGTAGGCCATCAGCAGGATGTGTCGAGCTATCACTTGAAAGCAACTGGAGTTGAAGAACGGGATGTATGTCCCCTCCTTCACGTCACTCAGTCTCAGTGCTATTGACTCGTGAATTGAAGAAAGGTTTCGCTGTGAAAGCCGGCCCAAAGCCTAAACCGTAAACCTCAACGTCCGGTGAGCAGAAGAGACCCTGGCTGGAGTCATTGTCAATACCATCCCCTGAAAGTCCCTGCAAAGCTGTATTCCGTATATAGCTATGATATATGATCTATATCTATATTTATACCTATATCTATATCTATATCTATATATATATATATTTATGCAAGTATATATATATATATATATATGCTATGGCTATGATATGATATGGGATGATATGATATGGTATGACCACAGCGCCTCCCCCCCCCCCCAGGTCACATTATTAAGACCCCTCAGCTGCAACCTCGAACTCCTGGCCTCGCAGGGGGCTGGCTGGCACATGGCGCTCACCAGCGAGGTGGCAGTGCTACGGTTTTGGGTTTAGGGTTTTAGTTTAGGGATTAGGGATTAGGATTTAGGGTTTAGGGATTAGGGATTAGGATTTAGGGTTTAGGGATTAGGGTTCAGGGTTTAGTGGTGCAATCCCTTAAACCCTGTAAACTATACGGTTTAAGCCCCATACCCTACGTGGTTTAGGGTTCGGGTGGTTCCTTCCCTAAACCGCAATCAGAAATTATTTTGCGATGGCGGCGAAGTAATCTTGAGCATTGGCCGTAATCGGCGTTTGCTTTGTTTCGGGTTTTTGGTTTGCTGACGACACCAAACCCTGCAAAGGAGTAGGTTCTGACCACAGAATCAAAGGACATGAGTGTCAACCCTAACCCCAGCAACATAGGAGGCTATGCCGCTTAATTTGAGGACATACCCCCTAAGCCAGTCGGCAATCGGATGCCCGCCCGACCTGGCTGAGCCCAGAAGCTTGCACAGAGGCAGAAACCAGATTCCCACGGAGTTCCCCCGTGTTCCTAATGTGCAGCGAGGGGCCGCAAGCGTTCCGTCTCGTATTGTCAATGGTCCGCTTCAGACAAATGCTTGTGTTTGAACTTCAGGTCTTGGGGTCGGATCCGCTCCAAACTTGGACCCTAACCTACAGCTGTCCTGCAGTTGGAAAAGAGCACATAAAAAGAAGAACGAAAGTGCCATGCTTTGGAGAAGTGTCATGTGTAATTAGAGCCTTGGCACTTTTGAGAGCTGCACAGGTGGGAAGGCCTGAGCCCGAAACCCTACATATACTATACTGTACGGAACCTTTCGGTAGGGTTTAGGGTTTCTGCACGTAGAGTTTTAAGGGTTTTTGCTTAGAGTTTGGGGGCTAAGCTCTGAGCCACAGGTGTTCGAGTGCCTGCAAGAGACGTTTGGGGTCCAGCACGAGCTGTTTGCTTCGCCTTTGAACTGCACCCTGCCGTCGTTCTGCTCCCTTTTCCCAGACGCCTGGCCCAGGGTTTGGGGTTTAGCTTCGCTGCCGGCGTACACTCCAAGTCCGTGCTTAAAAAGAGATCTGTGTTACCATATAATATAGTTAGATTGCACGCCAGGGGTGGTTTAGGAGTTTTCTTCCTGAAGCTCTAGGCTTGAGTCTTCAGGGGCTTCAGAGCTTCGTTTGTGTCTGGCGAACCAGAAAGGGTGCTCTCCTCAAAATCCTACAGAGTGGATTTACCTCATCTTGTTTACAGAATCCAAGCCCGTTGTCGACCATGCCGCTCAACCCATGCTGCCTAAGCCTGGAGATGCCACGGTGCTAGGCCACTCCTCAGAAACGATTCGCTTTGTGACTTTGTGGTTTTGAACAACCGTCCCTCGCTGCATGACGAACTTCGTCGTGGCGAACGCGTGATGTGCCAGGTATCGTTGTCTTGCTAGCAAGCAGCGGCCGTAGCGTGGGGAGTTGTAGAAACGAAGATTCAAGAAAAGACAATGCTGTCTGAAGAGTCACAAGAGCCTGCTCGCCCATCCACTCCATGCCATGGACTCCAACCAAGCATTGAGTGGCGGGCCCTTTCCATGCTGCTTGGGCGTGATGGTCGACGGGCCGGCATGTAGGTCGATGTCTCGAGTAATCTTCAAGAAACTATGTGCAAGGATCTTGAGTGACTGCTGATCAAGTGAAACAAGTGTATAGCGTAGATGAACAACCATAGCATCAAGTATAAGCTGGCAAAGCTCTTTCCTGCAGTGTGTGTGTATATATATATATACATATATATATATATATATGTCTTTATATGTGTAAATATATAAGAACTAATACATATGTGCACATTCGTCTCTATTGCCTGTCATCTATATCTAATGTGTGTGTACATCCCTGTTAGCGATATCTTTATTTCTATCTTCATTTTCTGTCTATCTCTCTATAACCCTGTATTTCTGTCTCTATCCATATATATATATATATGCATACATCTGCATGCAACTGCAAATGTACAAATGCATACTTACACACGTACTTGCCAGCATACATGCGTACATGCATGCATGCAGTCTGTCACCCTCCCTTAGAATCTAGGGTATCTACGGCTGTAGTCTCCTGCACGACTTGCACGTCTACCCGAGTACGTTCTGCTGAATCCTAACAGAGAGGGCAGCCTCCTTTGTACAGAGGGCGCAGTTCTGGGTGGACCAACAACCACACTACGGCTACGACCTACACCTGCTATTTTGCCATTACGACAGCTACAGCATTCACAACTGACGATGGAGACGCATACCACCACTGCAACCACCGCCATCAGCAGCACAGCACCGGTGGAGCACCACAGCATGAGGACCACAACATATAGCTCAAATAACCTGCGTCGCAGAGAATCATGAGCGCGGTGCAGTCGGGAAACAAGTATCATGCAGGCCTGGAGCTGTTTCTGCCTTAATTACTGAGAAACCCAGGCAAAACAAGCAGGTTAGACTTAGCCATGCCAACAAACAGGCAAAAAACAACATAATATCAATATACAGAATAATGCCTTAACCTTAGCACAGCAAAGGACACAGATCGAGAATTCGGATCGAAAGGCGGCTTCTTCCGCTTTTGCGAAGACACTCTCGTGCGAGGTGGAAGCTTTGAGTGCGACTCGCCCCAAGCAGCCGAGAGCGGTTTCACGGTTTAGAGTTTAGGGTTTAGGGTTTACGGTTTAGGGTTTAGGGGTCTATACAGGTTTTAAGGTGTATAGGTTTAGGGCTTCTAGGGAAAGCTTAGTAAGCTTTCCCTAGAAGCCCTTAGGGTTTAGATTACGCCTCATATGGAGCTTGCGTTACTGTTACAGAGCTTCGGCCTGAGTTCTCACATAATCAGACTCTTGAAGTAGGGAGCCCACCCTCAGCAAGCTTGTGGGAAGGGTAACACCCCAAGCATGGTGTCTGATACTTGAGCCACATCACCCAAACCAGAACCGACACCTTCAACCTTAAGTCCTGAACCTTACATCCAGAAACCTCGACATGCTCAAGTCTGCATCCTGTCCGATGAACCCTAAACCTAAAACCTTGTAACTCGTCAAATCCAAGGCAACCCACCCTTCGAGGAAGGCCTTCTTGCGCGTGCCGTGGCGGCGTTGCTGCGGGCTCTCACGGCGGAAGGCCCGGCACTTTCAGTCGCTCGGATGGCAGCTTGACACCCCTCTGAGGGTTTCTCAGCTCAGGGGGGTCAAAGGGGTTCTAATGTTGCTTTTTGTTTTGGGCTTTGTAAGGGTTTAGGAGTTCACACGCAGCTTCAAGCACTACAAATCGCAGGTCATAAGCGATTTGTTTTGGTTTATAGTGCCTATAGGGGCTTTGAAACAGAGCGAATAGCGGCGCAGTAGCTCTGGCAGCTTAAAATGAGCCATGCGGTGTCATAGTGTTAAGGATTGCAACATATTGGTGGGTTTATAGATTTGTCTAAGATGGTGTAAGAAGTCAAAATAGTTGATTTAACTGTGGGGCCAGTGTAAGCAAGCATTCCGCCCTCGAGAAAATAGCCCTTTATGGAATTGTTCTCGCAGGCCTCCTCCGAGAATTTTTGTTGGCCCAGGTACTGTGTAACAGTATGATATACACTATATAACTTAAATAGTCACTGGTGCTTACTATTGCTACCCCTACTTGTAGCAGATGCCAGACAGTTGCAACGTGGCTGACATCATGACGGGCCCCATTTCTTTAGCTATGGCACAGAGTGTCCCAACAGCAATAATGCTTATAGCACATGCTCCAAGTTTAGGGGGTGGGTGGTTGATGCAGGTGCTGCTGAATGCTGAAAGAGGAGGATTTCGGCTGTGCTGTGCAGGGTCTTGGACGTGTAAGATTTCCGGCAAGTGCAATGTCAGGTTGTGCTCGTGCTGCCCGCATGGCCGGGCTCGGCTGCGATAGAGATGGTCCTTCGGCTGCAACAAGGTCATATACAGAAGGGGCCTTCATAATTAAAACGGGGTTTTGGGGCATATCATACTGTATACATGATTAAGAACCACAAACAAATCGTTATTCAGCACCCGATATTTCAAGAGCAAGGAACCCCACAATAGATAGGTAAGCATTACTTCGCCCCCTTCCCTACATTCACCGTTGCCTGTAGCCTGCGTGGAAACCTTCGAGTCCCAGGCATCTGAAGATAATGAAGATTGAAGGGTTTAGGGTTTAGGGTTTTTGAAGCTCTACCAAGCAAGGCCTTCAAACCCCAGCCCACGCATCGAAATGTGAGAAAAGCCGACGGAGTAGCTAAACTCCGAAGCCGGACCTTCCAGAGCCCTCTGCCTCGAAACTCTCAAACCCTTCTAGACCAAGCCCCAGACCCCGAAACCCACAAGTCCTCCAACATTTCATTTTCTGAAACGTGTAGATGCGTAGATGTCACCCAAGAGCCCGAAGGCCCGGCTTCCGAAGCTCTGAGGCCCTTTAACCCAGAGACGCTCATCTCCCCGAGGCATTTTGGCAGACGAAGTATTCGCAGATTTTGCGAGACGCGTAGCCGCATAGCCGCCATGATCATGGGATTCCTCACTCTTGGCGCTGCGGTCCTGGTCGGGGCCACCTCTCCCGACAAGGCCACAAAGCTCTCAGAGGCCATGGCATTGGATGCATGTGCTCAGGGGACGTGTGCCTTGCACGCGCTCCAGCAGAACATCACCGCGCTCCCGGCCAACAGCACGAAGCAGCAGAACCACACGGAGGAACCGGTCAGCGCCGAGAAGAAGGAGGAGCTCGAGGACGGGGACTTCATCGATCCGGAGGGCGACCTGCTTGGTGGCGAGAACTTCGCCGCGGTCAAAGTAGCTGCTGGCTGGTCCCAGGGCGGAGACAAAGTTTGGGGCAGTGGCAGAGGCATCGAAGACGTCAATGGCGGCAATGTCGGCTACTACAACAACGGCATGGATGCAGCTCACGCGCGCTGCGGCGGCAGCCACTGTGCCCTGATCGTAAACCCCCCGGGCCACCGCAGCATCAATCAGTTCCATATCCACTTCGTCTCCTACGCAGGTTATGGATCCAACCTCAAGCATAGGCTCGAGAAGAGGGTTTGTGGCAAAAGCGGATGGCGCAGCGGAGGCCTGCCTTGTCATGGCAAGGCTATCTTCGTGAGCGGTTGGCCGAATGTCTTCTCGGTGGCCATGGGTGGCGGCGGCATGAGGCATGCTAGCGTGATCGCTTGGCCCGGCTCCTGCGGTCACAAGGGGACAATTATCGAGTTGGCTTATGGCTGCAGCATAGAGCATCAGATTCGCGGAGACTACAACCCGGCCTATCGTTAGGCCAGGTAAGATTCATTGCGATGAGATCACGGGGCGGCCTCTTCGTTTTCCTTTGCCAGTCTTAAGCACTGGCTCGAATTCATCTCGGGGGCTATAATCTCTTTTTGCTCAGGCGCTGTATTTGATGCAATTCCTGGCTACACTACAAATGTAAAGCCTCGCCTTCCAGCAGAGTTTTGTCCATGTGTCGGCATTTATTGCCTACACCGTTCCCATGAAGCGATTGACTCAGAGGAAAACGAAGCAGTCTTGATGGCATCTTGGTCTGCTACTGGCACAGGTGTCCGCCCTTGTTCATGGTTGTGGGCTGGTCCCTACATCCACATCTGGAGCTTCTGCCTAGCTAGCTGAGGTAGAGTTGAAACGCAGTCGTAAGTTGTATGCGAGCATTCACTGGCAAAACACAGGTACAAAGATGTGTTGCAGCTCATCTTCCTCTTCCAGTTATTGTTCTGATGAATCCGGTCCGTACATGTCAGGTTCACCTTCCAGCGGATCGTCATGATTGACCTGAACCGTCTTCAACCTTCAACCCCAACCCTAAACCCTATAAACCCTGAGCCCTAAACCTTGAGAAACCTGGAGGTTTGCAGCTCCCACTTCCTCCGGGCGTCCGCAGAGGTGTCCGGCGAGGATCATTGCTACCTCAATGGCCGCCCCGGGGCCGAAGGAAGGGCTGTAGGCTTTGGATTAGGGTTCCCCATATGAGCCCTAATATATTGGGGTTACAGGCCCAGGCTTTCTTAATCAGGTTCCTACATGACACTTGGGTTGAGGGTTTTGGGGTTTAGGGTTCAGGCTAAACCCAAAACCCCTAAGCCCTATAGGATTTCGAGTCCAGGGTGTGAGGCGGCTCGGGGGTTTATAGACAAGGGCTGCAGGGTCTGGGTTTTAGGATCTCTATTGTATAGTGTTTCAGGGCTTTGGGTCGAGGGTTTATGGTTTTCAGGGTCTCATGCTAGGCCTCAATTTTTTTTTTTTTTTGGGGGGGGGGTGGGGTTCGACATTGGGGAGTTTAGGTTCCATTGTTTATTGTACACAGATTGTCGGTGCGTTCCTTGATCTCTCGTAGTATATCTTGCCAGGCTGCTTGATACTTGTGACACATACCTTGTCATAGGAGTATTTGCTGTTGCGTTCGAACCAAGCCCCTAAACCAGACCCCAAATCCTCAACCCTGCACTAAATCCCGAAACTCCAAAACCCCACACACTGTAGGGTTTGGTCTGGGGTTTAGAAGCAGGTTTTGCAGCTCTTTGGCGTGGGGTCGCAAGATCTGATTGTTTGCACAAGTGGGTTTAGGCTTGAAGGTCGAGGGCATTTGACTCACGATTCAATTATTCAACAGGGCATGATGTTTCCGCAGCAAACGCTTTATAGCATGGATTCCCGCATGCGGTTTCAAGGCGGCACAAGTGGGTTTAGGCTTGAAGGTTGACGGCCTTTGACTCACGCTTCAATTTATTCAACAGGGCATGATGTTTCCGCAGCAAGCGCTTTATAGTATGGATTCCCGCATGCGGTTTCAAGGCGGCACAAGCGGGTTTAGGCTTGAAGGTTGAGGGCACTTGACTAACACTTCAATTTATTCAAGAGGCCTGATGTTTGCCCAGCAAACGCTTTATAGCATGGATTTGCGCAAGCGGTTTCAATGCGAACACTCTGCATCTAGGACTTTGGAAGCTGTCAGTTGGTAGCTTCGGCCAGTTGAAGGTTGGCGGCGTGTTACGAACACATGACAGTGGCTGCATGCTTTGCGTGTTACGGGCTTCTGCGACTGACTCGCTGTCTTGCGATGCGACTGTACTCTGTCGGTTTTCGTTACACCGTTGGCAATCTTTCGCTCTGCAGCCGTAGATATTACTTCTAAGTCTCTTAGTATTTAACTCATTGTCGCCTGGGAGAAGAGATGCCGAGGACAGCACAGCTGCCAGAAGCGCCATCGGCTGCTGCGACAGACAGAGGCCACTGTTAGGGGCAATTGGGGTGGGGGTGTACTCTACGAAAGGTTGCTGGGAGGGATTCAATATGTCTTGCCCGAAGCTCCTGAAGCTTTCAACACAAAGTCTGATCAATACCCTACATCCGTGCACATCAAAGCTTACACGAGTCTACATCCTCGACCTGTTCTTAATTTAATCCATGATGTCCATATAATCCCAGAAACAGCTCATCAAACCCAAGAACTCCCTGGCAAAATCAGCACAGACCTAAGAGCCAAGCCCCCCGCAAAAAACAAGCACTCGGTCCTTAGACCTTGTTAACCTTACGCCCTATATGAGCTATACAGTTCTAATGCCCTACAGCCGAAACCCTTAAACCCTGTAAGCCCTCAAACCGGGGAACCCTCACAGTATAGAGCCAGAAAGTTGGAGCATCATTATCCTCGTGCCCTCAAGGTAGAGCACAAGGAACCCTAGCACTAATCATCCTTAATCTATGTTGCAACTTTCTGGGGTTCAGTATATGCACTATGATTATTACAATTATTGTAATATTATTACTATTAGTGTCATTATTGTTATAATTACTACTGTTTACGGGATTCATTACAAAACTGAAAGACATCGGAGGCTCGAGGATCCCTGGTGGCGGTGCTGCAGAGCTTCGTCTTGAAAGGGGGCCCCACCGAGCTCGGTCGAGGTTTCGTTTTACGGTTTAGAGGCCTATGCAGAGGCTCATAGTACGGATTACCTTATAGGATTATGATTATGAACCATAAGAAGGAACTTCTATGGAGCCGCTAGGTAAGCACACAGTTGGGTGAACAGGAACGTGATGCAAGGATCGGGCTAGTCCCCAAGCAAATTTGCAAAGTTGGCCTAGGGCCAGGCTTTAAGGTTCACGGGTTCAGGGGCTTATAGGGTTCAGGTTCAGGGTTCAAGGTGACGAGATGAGAGTTGCATGGGCACTGGCCTCAACCCGTGCTGAAAGAGGCTTCAAGGATCAAGGCTTCGGAGTCAACGCCGAGGGTTTAAGGTTTAGGGCTTAAGGTAACTGAGGAAGGCTCTGCCAGAGAGCTTCGCTGCCGGCATACACTCCAAGTCCGTGCTTAAAAAGGGCTTAAGGTAAATTTAGGGCATAAGGTAAATTATGAGGAATGTTACCATGCCCTAAAGGCCTTTTTGATCGTTTGGGTGGTGTTAGGTAGGGTTTGAGAGTTTGGGTTAAACGGTGTTTGGCTTTGGGGTGTTTAGGGTTTGGGGCTGAGCGTCTTCAGGGCTCGGGGTGCTTTGGGGGTTTGAGGGGTGAAATCATAGGGTTTGGGGGGTTTCTAAGCTTAGAGTGCGAGGTCTTTTGGGTCTTGGGGCGGCGGAAAGTTTAGGTTTATGTACAGGGTGTAGAAGTGTAGGATGCTGGTTTCAGATCTCCGAGAGGTGCAAGGATGTTTCTGACAGAGGCTGGAGCTGCCCCTAGCTCATCGCCTCGAGCCTAAACCCTGCACCCCCAAACTTGAAACAGGCCCTGCAAAATCCGAAAAAAAATCCTGAACTCCTCAACCCTGCCCCAATAAATCCATGGTGCCCTGTGTCCCCTTCATCATGAAGGGGATACTGAGGAGCGGAGTCCCGAAACACCCTGACCCTCAAACCAGCCGCTGTCTTTGAAACACCAAATCTTATCCCAACTATATACCCAAAACCCTAAATCCTAAACCCGAAACCCTAAAACCCTAGCAAGCGACCCAGAAAAGCTCTCAGGAATGCAGCTGCAGCAGAGGCGGCAGCTTTACAGGGCAGAACATGCATCTGCACATTTTTAGGTGTATATGTATGTGCTGTATGTGTTTATGTATATAAACATATGTATGTATATGTATGTATATGTATATGTGTGTGCAGATTTATAGTATGAACCCAGGCAAACTGTACATGTTTGCAACACATGAGGAGAGAATGCCCAATATGTGAACGGCCAAGAGACCCCCAGCTGTACTGCAACAGCCCCTTAGGGTTACTTAGAAATTGTTTTTAATTTTTGGTTGTTATAATCCCGAAGAAACAGCTAAAATTACAAACAAACTGCAAGGGTTCTAAGTTCAGAAAAGGCCCAGTGAGCGAAGGCCTGCCCGGATGTCGAAGCCAAGCTGGCGACTCTTCGCAGCGCCTGGGGCGATCCCGAGCGGAAGATGCGAAGAAAGGGGGGCAGAGAGAGAAAAGACGCCAAAAGGGGCCTGTTGGGGTCGGGGGGTGGGTTGGTATCCGGAAAAATTCTGAAAGTTTGGATGGGTTCGCGATTTAACCAGGACGCTTTGAGGGTTGCATCGGTTTGTGAGTTGGGGTTTTGGGATTCAGGAAAAAGGCTCGTGGGCTTGGGTAGGGCTCGCGACTTACCCTTTTTTCTGTTTGGATTTGGGGCTTCGCTTGAGTTTTAAATTTGGCGAGTTAAGAAAGCTCCAGGGACGCGAGTGGTCTGCTTAGGGCTTTTGTGACCGAGCCCTACTAGGGCCCTTGAGCTCCTTATTCCCTGGAATCAGCCTGGACCAGTGGCAGGCCACAAGGTTGGCAGGCTTTTTGTTTTGCAAGGTCCTTGCTGCATGTGTATAGTTGTATTCGTTCTATAAACGTACCCTTACTGGCACCCCGACTAGACTCGGAATAACCCACCCAGGTCCTCTCCTTCAGTGGCCGGAGCCCTTAGACGCGCGAGGGTTTGGGATTTTGGCAGGTTCAGGGGTGTTGGTTTGGGAATTTCCGGATTTTGGTCGTCATAACACTAAACCCTAAACCCAACCCAAATACCTCGTCAGGGTCATGTAATTCTGGTGGGTTGCAATTGATGATGCGTCATGCCTACAGCATCAGCACGAGTTGGACATGCTATTCGTAGCAGCGAGTGTGGAGGCAAAGGACTGGTGCGGTGGCTTTAGCCTCCAAAACCTTGTCTCCAAACCCCATACATACATACCCCATTTGTAGAATTCCATGCCGGAGCGGAGCAGCCAGAGCCACAACACTTCGCAGTGCGGTTCCTTCATCTCTTCAGAACTACAGTATACCACATCTCAACACATTGCTGTAGTTGCTTAGGCTTTTCATGGCAAGCAACCTTAAAGAACCAACCGTGAAACCTCTGAGAGCACCCAACATGGCTAGACCATACACCCCCTATCCCTACCATGTCTCCAAAGCTTGCAGAAACTCATCCCAGGCCTTGGAAATTTGGTGTGATCCCCGGAAAGGGTCACAGCGTTTTCGCTTGTAAATTCCGTGAGATCCAGAGTTTTGATTGGAGCTTGGAGTTCGGCTCCGGGTTGAGCTGTTACCTATAGTCTCCATTGCAGTTCATTTTTTTGGTTTAACCAATAATATATCAGGATCCTATAAGGTAACCCAACAAAGGAACTACAATGGATACTATAGGTAGATTCGACCCTGTTCGGTTTTCGGCCGCTTAGCTGAAGGTTTCGGTTGTGTGGTCAGGATCTCCGAACTCTGAATCCGTCGCCGCAGCTTCAAAAAACATCAAAAACCCCTAAGCCCTCAGAACCAGGGCCTCGAACCTGAGCGTTTGAACCCTTATAAGGATTTGCGTCATTAGTCAGAACCTAATTTGTTCTTACACACACACATATATATATATATATTATCAGTATCACTAATATTAGTGTTAATGAACTAATGTTGTTCATGTATTAGTATCACCACAATGCAACTTTTGTCAAGACAATATTCCGTTTAGGATCCGAGCTCTTACACTACCGGAATGCCAAGACCATTCTTCCTCGACCTGTTATGTGAACCCTAATCCCGAAATCCGTGGAGCTGCACCCGCTAAGCCCCAAGCCCTACAAACCCTGAACTCCAAAATCGTCCTGTAATAGAGCCCGAAATGATGGATCATCGATATGCGGACCCCTACCGTATTTGCGAGATCCCTACCGATCGTGATTCCGGAGGTGGCCAAAAAACACTTTGTACTGTTCAGGCCGCATCGCAAAAGCCGACCAGAGACATGTGAAAGCCTTTTGAACCCCTCATAAAACACCACAAAAACCCTACAAGGCTTGTCTTCAACAACATGCCCTATGAAAGCCCTCTAAAGCCTCCCTTCATATAACACTACAAAAATCCGCTCAAGCCCTTCTAACCAAACCCTCTGAAAGCCCTCTACCCACCGGCTCCATAGTAGTTCCTTTATGGGATTACCTTATAGGATTTTAAATTTGAACCCCAAAAAGGAGCTACTATGGAGCCTAAACCCAAAAAGGAACTACTATCCCTCTGAATCCAACGCTTGCTTATAGTGCAGCTTTTGCGTTAAGATCACGATAACTATGATCATACCCCCATAATGGGCCAACGCTCACAATTTTCATGGTCATAGCATATTCCATAGATCCATAGAATTATGGGTATATATATATATGTGGGGAGAGTATAGAGCCTTGGGAACCCGGAAGCCTGATGGATGACAGAATTAAAGCTAGACGATGGGATTTCCTGTTCATTTGGGCACTATGAGCTCTCGTTGGGGTGTGATGTACGTACTAGCTACCAGCAGGAAGCCCGAAGAAATTGAAAGACAAGACCCTGGACTTATCAAGGGAACCCTTGAAATCTTCAAAAGATCATGGGCACTCCCCTATTCGGATATATATATATATATATACTTCGAGGATGCAGCTCAACAGCGAGGGCCAGCCTGAAAAGCTGAATTTGTTTCCTGTTCGGGTTTGAGGCAGGGTTTTCTTAAGGTTATATATAATAAGCGCTAGGAGCGAGAATAGCCATCTACACAAGGCCTGGGCCCAGGTCCACAGCTTAAGGGTTCGAGAAAGTTTCTGAGGTCGGTTAAGGGTTTAGGCCGGGTAAACAGGCTGAGACAAGGCTTTGGGCCAACTGTGTGCGTTGAAGAGTTCTCCTCGGAAAAGCTTTTTCAGGCTCGCCAGGGCTGAGCTCGCGAGGGCTTCCGAACTGACCAACGCCAACACCAGTCGTGATGAGCCAGATACCATCCCGAAGGCCAAACTTCCCAAGTGCTTCAAAGAATCAAGATGTGAAGGCTGAGCCGGTGCACGCCCAGTGGAAGAGCTACAGCTGGCCAGCAACACTAGACTCGCCAGAGTCTAGTGTAGCTGAGCCAGATGTAGACCACCCACAAAAACATCTTGATTGACCGCCCAGAGCAGTGGGCAGAAATCACTTTGCGCCAGCACGAAGTGGTCTCGAGGCACCCAGACGGAGCAGCCATCGAGTGAGCAATCTATATTCCAGGCCGCCGCCTACTTTTGGCAGTTTGATTGTCAACTCCTTCATCTGCCCTATATAGTCTTCGTCCATGAAGCAATGAAAGTGTCTAAAATTGCAGCGGGTGTCCCGGACATCCTCCCCAACATGCAATAATGCATGCATTTTCGGGATAATCTTGTATCGTGGGCAATTCCGAGACACCGAAATTTTCACCAGTTGTTTATAAATCATGAGGAACTTCAAAATTGCCTCGCTGATCGACTCGGCCTCCTGCTCCGTGAGCAGTCGAGCAGCCCGCTCGGATCTGTCGAAAATGCAAGCAACACACTCGGCAGCCGCCAGCGCCGCCCGGCGTTCCTTTCGCAACAGATCATCGCCAGGTTCCGAGAGCCCCTTCAGGGCAACGGCCAAAAAAAGAATCATCAATCGTCCATTCCACGCCTTCAGCTTGAGGACAGGGTAAGTGCCCTGCTCCAAATCAAGTAGGCCAGCGGGCATCGTTGCCAAAGAGTGCCTCGGCGATTTTGTTTAGAGATGTATGGGCACCAGGTGCTTGATTTAATTGGAGCTTGGTATACTTAAGCTTGCAGTTTGCCTTTCGGTTCGGTTTGTTGTGACCCTGCTCTGCAACCTTTGTAGGCCCAGGCTTGCTTTCGTCCGGCCCCGCATTATTCACAAGAAGCACCAGCTGATCATCTGGTTGTTGAATGAAGCGAATACACAGCCGGACACGGAAGGGCTTCACATTTACCCGGATCACAAAAGGCCGTGAACGTGTGGAATCATGCAAGCTCGTGCACCATGTGCGACAACAGCCACATGCGGCCACCCTGCAGGCATGCTCGGTCGGTACGATACAATGTACGTATGCGAATGGACCTAGTGCATTATCATCCAGCCAGGCCAGCAGCATGCTGTTTAAAGGCGCCATGCGACATGCTCCAAGCACACCATGCGAGCGTCTGCTTCCTTCCTCGTCGTTCCTTCAAAGAGCAGATCTGCCGAACCATGCAATGTGACAAAGCTTAGGAATGACTTTGCACAGCATAGGTAGGATTAATTGCACATCGGGAAGATGCAAGAAATCGTACTTCTTGGCAGTAGCAGCAGCAGATAATTATCGGTAGCAGTAGCAGCAGCAATAGCAGCGGTAGTCGTAATAGTAGTAGTAGTAGTAGTCGTCGTCGTCGTAGTAGCAGGCAGCAATAGGCCGTGTGGAGCCCAACGACTTTGTCGATAAAAAGTCTCAGACAAAAACTCGCACTCCATCCCGGATCTACACCAGCAACCCCCTGTGAGGGCCTATAGATGGGCAATATACCATGGCCTGTTACTAGAATATACAGATCCACCCTGACAAGCTGCAGATGGGCTTGTTCGAATTAATGATGCAAACTGAAATATGCTTGAAGGGTTTCCCTAAGGGTTTAGTGGGCATAGATATCTATACCAATCTGTTCAAACACACCTATACAAGTATTGCAAGTGTTGGCTTCCGGATCGGAGGACGATATAGCTATATATATATATATATATATATATATATATATATATATATACTATAAAGCCCCGAGGCTTCTTATCCTAAACATGATATCTTTAATTAAATTTTGAGACCCGTACCGAGGCTGATGCGTGGGACGTGAGAGAGCTACGAACAGATTATGCGTCCAAAGCTAAACCCCTAAACCCCGAAACCCTGAAATCCCCTAAGCACCAGAAACCCCTAAACCCCTAAACCCCTAAACACCGGAACCCCTAAACTCCTAAAGCAAAATGGCGCTTCCTCGCCGTCCAGTTCTGGGCTCATCGAAATGCAAAACCGGGATCACATATAAAGTCGACATATAAATAAATATATATATATATATATATATATTTATATATCGACTTTATATGTGATCCCGGTTTTGCATTTCGAGCAGTTACTTCGACGTAGTAGTTGGCTGGTACTAATAGCAGCAGCAGCAGGAGGAGGAGTGGTACAAGTAGCAGCGTCTGTACTGAGGACTAGTAGTATATTATTATTATTATTATTATTATTATTAGTGATAGTAGTAGTAGTCGTCGTCGTAGATAGTAGCAAGCAAGTAGCAGCAGCAGCAGCAGCAGCAGCAGGAGTTGTCGTTGTAGTAGTAGTACCGTATACGTTATAACGATACCGAACTACGAATAGAACACGTACTGGGTTGCACCCGACGGACTGCCGAAAACTAAACCCAAGTCCGTAAATATACAACCTGAAGCTATACGTAACCCTTCTGCCTGTGGGGCCACATACAGGTCCCGCACACCCCTGAAGCACTAAGCCATTCATCCTGGAAACTGCAGTGCTGAAACCCTGAACAATGAAAACCCTGCAGCCACAGCAATGGAAGTGGCTTCTGCAGCTGGGAGGCTCTGCCTAGCTAAACCGGTGTCTGATTTAAGAATATAGTCTCCTAAGGCAGATTAATTAATGCTGGACCCGTGTCCCTAAGAATGATTGCGCTTTCGGGTCCTTGGCAGCTTCAGGTCCTGAAGGGGTCGGGGCTTAAAACAACACGTTTTGGAGTTTGGTGCTGTGCTGACATGCCTTCTTGCAACACTGCAGATTGCAAAATTATCGATATTCAACACTGCCAGGAATACTGAACCATCCTCCTCTAAGGGTTTGGGTTATCCTTTATAGGGTCCGGGTTTGCCAAGCTGCCGGTGCGAGTTGCAGCTCGCCCAATTCTTAAAGCGTCCACACAGCTGAACCATCTGCTCTGCCCGCTTCGTGGAGTTGAACCAGCCTGGGTTGAAGGATCTGCTGTTATGGGAATCCAGATTACAGTTTTGGCGTGTCCAGGTACGGTTGTTGTTCAGGGGAGGATATAGCACTATCATCGATGTCCCGGGGCCCAAAGCTACATTGCAAAATCTTGTCTGAGGCTCCCATCTCTTCCAGCAGCAAAACGATCGCTCCATTTAAGTACTGGATCACTCCAAGGTTCAATGTATGCATGGAACACCAACGAATCATCTCGGGCCGGACGCCCGTCACCCCGAACAACGGGTTGGCTGGATGCCTTCATGAGGTTTTGGGATGGTTGTCGAGGGAAATATATAATGTGCACATTTCAGGGCTGGGGCACCTAATTAGTATTCGTTCCGGGGCACTTATGATATACCGGCACCGACTTTAGACACCCGAATCCCACCTCATGCCCTGCAGCAACACATCCTCAGGGCGTCTCTTCTCAAAGGTTTTCGTCCAGGATGTCGCATACCTCAGGTCGAGTTGGGGACAAGGTTGCAATATGCTAAATAATAGCTAGCATACTATATATTTACCGGTACGGTTATAATCAATCAATCTGGCTGCCCATTCGGCCCGGAAAGAGTAGCTTTGCAACAGTGACAACAGTTCGGAGTGGCCCAGAACCACTTCAGCCCACAGAACTGTAAGTGCCATTTCCAATCGCCCCGCATCTCAACCAAGCTGAACGGACCGCCTTCAAGGATAGCTAGGCAAACCTATATTCGAGTAGAATTAATTACACTACTATATCCCAAGGTCCCGACCGAAAGCTGGGTAACCCTAAGCCGTAAGACTGCTGCTCTAGGCAGCAGCGATATCGATGATTTCGTCGAATTTCATGGAGGCCTGCAATGGGGGTGCCAGCTTTGTGGCGGCCATTGTAAGCTTCGTTGCTCCAGTTCAAGCTTGGGTGCTTTCCAGAGAACAGGCATCTGAAAGACCAGGCGAGGATTTCTAGCACGGGCCGCAATGTATCCAGCATTGATCCGGAACAGAGGAATTCCCTCAATGTCAGTAAGGGATATCGGCCAAAGCTGTGCTGCGATTCTTTTTCCAGTAGGAAATTAACCGTTATGACGATTAATTTGTCTCCAGCAGCATTGTACTGGCCATCGTCCCCGTGAATCCCAAGGGGCACTAGTCTGTCAGTGCAAGCAGGGTGGTGCTTAGCCCAGCTAGTGTACTGCGCCATGTGGCCCCAGTACCGATCAACTTCGCTACGATCGATTGCAACTTTGCCCGACTCCTGAAATTGCAATAGACCCTAAACCCCTAAACCCATTATAAGCCGTGAGTCTTAAACAAAAAATAGAAGCTTAATCAGCTAGCTATGGCTAGATCAAAATTTAGAACTCCACCATATAACGGATCCGTAGATTACCCTAGACCCGAAAAGTCCACAGACAATGCAAGCAAGGCACACAAAGATAGTGCACCAACTCGTGCGGCATTAGAAACGGCAAGCGATACGGCTCGTGGCCAGTTCGCGTCTTGGGGTTCTTGATGTAGATCGTGCAGTAATGAATGTCCTGGGTCATTCACAACATATACTACAAATGGCACGACAAGCTCATTAATAATGACACCACAGAAACTTAAACTATCAATGCAAGAGTCCACCGGGATCTTCAGAACTCGCATCAAGTCACGTTCAATATTTCCAGCAAATTTGCCATGTGTACCACATGCGGCTATCCGATGAGTAAGGTCACTAACGGCTCCTCTAGACTCCTGCACGGCAGCAGCAGCTGCTTCCCGAAGTTGCGCCGCTGAAGTAGCCTCTAGATTAATTGATATGCAGGGCCAGCTGGGTCTAGATCTAGTGGTTGCAGTATAGGAAATCCTGCCATGATCGTGGGAATACTTGCAATCATTAACCAAGGGGCCCCAGCTCCCAAAGCGCATAGAAGATGGTCTGCAAAGGCAGTTTCGCCACGTGTATCTGCGGTGGGGTTTTCCGGGATCTGGGATTTCTGGCACTAGCGACGGGTTCTATATGCCGAACATTAAATTACAATAGGGGGACAGCTAGGATCTCTGGCCGGTGTTTAAGAAATTTGGTTTCGGGTTTAGGGGATAGGTATAGTGGCCGGTTGTAGGTGGTTTAGGGCACGGGGCCGAGGGTAGGGTTTCGGGATTAGGGATTTTTCATAACTATATGAATAATACCCCCACACGATCGTCTCGCAAGTCCTACCACTGGCCAGGCTTTTTGGCTTCGGGCGGTGCTCGCTGGTGCAGGCTCCCCTACCTGCTCTAAATCTAAATGTGCACTACTTGATCACGAAGTAGCAGCAGCCAGCTAGCTCACATAAACATTAAATCGGTATTGCTGTCTTTGCTAGATACACAGCTCGAGTATCCGAGCATCGCCAGGCAGCCACTTCCAAAACTCACGGCAGGCACGGAGCCTCGGGTTGTCGGCATTACGGTTCAGGGTTTAGGGTTTTAATACTGATCAGGGTACTGGGGATTTAGGGTTTACATGGTTTGGGTAGGGTCCAGGTATTGGGGTTCAGGTTCAATATCGATAGGGCACTGCATACAGAAATATACGAGGTACCGGTAACGGCTCAATAGAATTATATCGGCGTCTTGAAGACGACTTGCGGGTTTCCTGCATGCATGCTCGGGTTCGAATTTGGGCCGATTGTTTAATTAATATAGATCAGGACTTTGGGGCTTGGGTTTCGGCTTGGGCTTTCGGTCGCTTCGGGTTTAGGACTTTGGGGCTTGGGTTTCGGCTTGGGCTTTCGGTCGCTTCGGGTTTAGGACTTTGGGGCGTGTGTTTGGGCTTGGGCTTTCGGTCACTTCAGGTTTAGGACCTTGGGGCTTGGGTTTCGGCTTGGGCTTTCGGTCGCTTCGGGTTTAGGACTTTGGGGCGTGTGTTTGGGCTTTGGCTTTCGGTCGCTTCAGGTTTAGGGCTTTGGGGCTTGGGTTTCGGCTTGGGCTTTCGGTCGCTTCGGGTTTAGACTTTGGGGCGTGTGTTTGGGCTTTGGCTTTCGGTCGCTTCAGGTTTAGGGCTTTGGGGCTTGGGTTTGGGCTTGTGTTTTCGGTCGCTTCGGGTTTACAGGGAACTCCAGAAAGTTGGAATATGGTTTCATGGTAGGATACCCTATAATTTACCATAGAATGGTTAGGATGATAATCATATTCCAACTTTCTGGCTTTTACCTTAGGGCTTCTGGGTTCAGTTGTGGACAAATCCAAACCCCACCCTTAACCTCGAAGCCCTAAATCAACATGACACTGAATACTCAATTAAGCCCTTACCCCAAGTCCAGACCCTGGCCTTAAACTCGAAGCCCTAAACCCCAAAACCGAACACATCTTTTGTGCAATCCGGCCGTCGTAAGTCTTCGAGGTAGCTTCATGTATGTGTAGACACACACATGCTGAAAGTGCACTGCTAGGCTGCGAGGTTTCCTGCACCTAGAGGATCAGAGTGGCACACATGACCGAGCACAGATCTTATAAATGCATCTGCAGGGAGATCTTAAGCATCATATATTGCCGAGCCCGGCCATAAACCCACGGCGTGCACTCCCCCTGGGCGCCCTATGAATCCCTTTGCATCAAAACTTAAAGCACTTGCCTACAGTTTTCAAGCTCCTACAGGCTGGCCCCGGATTTGGCCTTGTCCTTGCTTGCCTTTGGCAAGTGAAGCTTCACATGCTTAGAGCCTTCCTTGTAGCGATCGTTGCAACCCATCAAAGCCTGTAGCTCGGGCTCGAATTGGGCTTCGGTGGCACCATTGGCCAGCTTGGCCTGCCCAAGTAAGCAAAGGTAGCAGTACTCATCTCCAGAATCGTTAAATTCCACTAACCCTCCCCCCCACCTCCAAAGCCTCACGCTTTGCCCTCATCTCCTTGGCAAGCTCCAGCATCGATGAGCAAAGTGCCGAGGCCAGCTGCCCGTCCCTGGAGCAGAAGCGCTGAATTGTGGTGTCGCACCTAGTCTACACTGTATACGTGAGGTTCGTAAAAGTAATTAAGGAGTTCAGGACTAGGGGGTTTAGGCCTTGATATTTAAACATGTCCCAGCAGCACTCCGGCTTGTCTCAAGCGGAAATCGAAGCCATTGATCTCCAAAAGATTCATGTTGGCATTGACCATGGCCTTATCGACTCAGCCCATATAGCTAGATAGCTAGCTTTGCAAGGCTACGGCTACACGGCAACAGATCTAGGCAATAGTGCATTCTAGTTGCACTGCGTGCCATTTGGTCCTTGGTTTTTTCTTTCTTCGTCTTCGTCTCACCACCCGGCTCCTGGCCTTTGCCCTTGTTCTTACCCTTTCCTTTGCCCTTTCCCTTCGGAACGGACGGGGTGGGCGGGGGCGCACTGGAGCTGGATGCCGGTGCATCGCCAGTCCTGGTACGGCTGGTCCGCATAGTGCTGTTATTCGTGTTAACCTCCACCTGGTGGTCGAAGCACTTGTAAAGCCGCAAAGCCTGAGAGAACAAGTCATGTTTTGCTTACATGCAAAGGAGCTGTACTGGTACTCTTGCGGAATCAAGTAACTCGTACGTCCGGCGCATCAGGATTATCCATGTAATCCCCAGAAGCCTCCTGCAAGCACAGTCGATGATGATTTCATGCAATGGGTGTGAGGTTTCAGTGTGCAGGGTTTAGGTTTCGGGGTTTAAGATTTAGGGCTAAGGGTTTCGGGAATAGGTGTATATATATATTAGGAATCATATTAAAAATTAATGACACATCCTCGCCACTGGCCTTCGCCCGGATAATGCTGTTGACAATTTCTTCGTCCCCGTACTTGGCCATGAGGTCCTGTGCTTTCAACACATACAAAACATGTGCATGCTACCTTGTAACACAACATACATGCATGTCGACACTAACACCAAATCAGTATCGAGAGGCTCTGCGTGTGAGCCACCTGGACGTGCTCACATCATCCGTCATCGTGCTCGTGTTCTCTTCCATGCTGAACTCACTCTCTCCCCAATCTTCTCCACAGGCAAGGAAGCTCTGGAACAGGTTTTGCATCTTCGTTCTGTCAACTTTGCCTAGATCAATCTTTAGGCCAGGGTGCAACATGCAGGTTCATGACATGTGCAGCCGAAGGATTTTTTTTGCTGAGTTGCCGTTGGTGGTCTTGCAGGCATCATAGGCATCGAGGACCGATTGCGGACACGAAGCACCTGGTATAGCATGTGATCATATACATCATGATATATATATATATATATATATATATATATACATGTATATACATATATTCATATATATATATATATATATATATATACACATAGCAATCCGTTTAGCTAAAGAAAAACATCACATGACATCATACCAGATCATTGATTACCAACATCGATATCACATCATCCCTAGGCCTCATAACCACCATCTCGGTCACCAAACAAGTTGTGCCACTGTGTATACAGCAATATAAACATTGTGTGTGCATGTGAGTGTATACATATAGTTATACATACAGAGTACATGTGTATATCTATGTGGCGTGTGTGTGTGCACTCGAATAGCACAAGTAATTTCAACAACGGTATACATGCACTAACCCACACTGCATCGGCCTAGGTCAGATGTGCTGGAATATGCTGGCAGGCACATCACTCAGGGAAGCTACCCATTCCAGAGTTCGGGTTGAGAGTTTCTAGGGATTAGGGTTGCAATAAGGCTCCCGGCTTTAGGGGGTTAGTATCGTAGGTCTAGGGGTGCATAATTCTAAGTAAAGCATCGTTTATGTACGTGAGAAAGACATTCAGCATGCATCTTGATCGTGAGCCCTTTATAACACCCTTAAGACGTAAATAAACCTCATAATACCTCAAGCCTCGGCCTTACAGGTCTAAAAAGCTGAATGTTGAAAATAACTCTACCTTAAAGCACACATCCTGCATCGTCTCAAACCGAGCAGCTCGTCATCGATCGAGTGAACCTCATATAAGCGTTGCGCTTCATTCGTCGATCCTGCGGGTACTTGAGGGTTTGTAATTATGATTGTCATACAGGGTTTAGGGTCTAGGCCTAGGCCCAGGGCTTATATATATATATATATATATATATTTATTTAATTGGATTTTAATAATCGAAAAGTCCTCTTGTTCTTCAGTCTGCTCCGTGCCAGCTTGCGATGCTGTCTCAATGCTTGGGTCGATGTGCTTACTCGGGGCTTTGGGGGCTTTTGCCTCGGCTTGGGGCGGATTCTGTTGGGCGTGCGGCTGCGGTGTTGTTGCAGCTGTTGACTGGGATGCCAAGTCATCACTAGCGGCGGGGGCTGGCTGCAGCTTGCCCTTGCTAGCATCGAAGTCCACAGTGTTGGGTCTATGGAGTTCCGGCTTGCTAAGCACAGATGTGTTGGAGTCAGCCATCGATTGCAACCATTTGATTTTCTGGATGTCAAGCCCCTTCAGCAACTGGAGTAGCTGCTCGTCCGACACCTCTCCGGATCCTGTTGCCTGATTGCAATTTGGGCCCTCCTGCTGCTCCACCTCATGCTTCGGGACTGCTGCTTGTGGGGCCTCCTGCTTCGCCTCATGCTTCGGGACTGCTGCTTGTGGGACCTCCTGCTTCGCCCCAGCCTCATGCTTCGGGACTGCTGCTTGTGGGACCTCCTGCTTCGTCTCATGCTTCGGGACTGTTGCTTCTGGGACCTCCTGCTTGGCCTCATGCTTCGGGACTGTTGCTTGTGGGACCTCCTGTTTGGCCTCATGCTTGGGGACTGCTGCTGCTGCTGTTGCGGTCTTGGTGCCCTTCTCCACTGCTGCTTGCAGCGGCTGCCCCTTTGTAGCCGTATCTGCCTCGGATACCATCGATTGGAAATGAATTGCAAGTAGATTCCTATCACACTCGAGAACCCTGGATACAGCTAAGTGACCATAACCACATCATCCATATCCAATGCTTCGAATACATTTGCAAGGTCCAGTGAGATGGAATCAGCACTCTCGGTAGTGTCACCGGCATAGCTCTCGAAGCTCGCTTTTTCGATCAATGCCGATGCCCTGGCCTGCATAGCAAGATTCCCTACCTAGAATCCTAGAATTCGAAGTGCAATTGGCTAGACCAAGCAATATACGTATACCGTTATTAATGTGCACCTGCTTGATATCTTTCGGAGTCTGCATAACATCGCCGTCGAGCGAGGCAGCACTTGCACACCGGAGTGCCGTGATGGGGCCCGGGCTGTCGCCTCAGATCGGGTTTAGGTCTGTGGTTTTAATTATAGCAGGTTTAAGGGGATGAGTTTACCACGTATTTCTCCTTAAATCCTGAACCCGAACTATGCAATAGCCCCCGAACATATAGCAACAGAAGGGTTTTGGTCGAGGGTTCGGAAGTCGGGAGGTTGGGCCTTTAAAGCTACGTTGGTTTTGGTTGTACTTAGCTTTGGGTTTAGGGTTGGGTTTAGGGAGAGACAGTAAAAAGGGGAGAGAGAAAGAGAGACGGAGAGAGGGAGAGCATACTATATCACATAGTCTTCTTTTTCGAAACAAGGCTCAAAAGAGGGTCTTCTGCGTGTCTTCCAAGGTTTCCACACACATTGCCTTCGTGTCGGGAGTCGAGGTACTCGGAGTTTTCTGATCGGGATGTACCGGGGTCTTTTTGCTGTGGATTCGCTTGTTCGGAGGGGGCGTGCCCCTGCTGGCAGTAGACTTTGAAGGAGTTGGCGGCTGCATAGCCTTTGTCATAGCATCCAACAGCTTCTTTCGTGTGGCTGCTTTAGCAAGCGCTTGCTGCGCCACCTGCACACCAGCAGCTGCACAAGGATTTTGCACTCTAGACTCGCGGAAATTCCAATACATTGCCTGCCTCCTGAAGGTCAGCTGCCTCTCGTTGGCCCGACATCACACAAAATCCACTACAGGAAACACAGAACTTGGCCCAAATGGCTAGATTTGCTCTGATTCTGTGGGTTTTCGGGTATGCACGGCCCAGGAAATCACGCATTTTCACGCGAATTCACGCGGGAATCACGCGGAGGTGCTTCCACAGATTCTGCGGAAGAGCCTTGGCCCTCATAACAGGGGTTTATGGAGATCACGCGATTTCACGCGTTTTCACGCGTTTTCACGCTTACAAGGGTGGGCTGCTACGTACAATTCTGACACAATTATAACCCTAAAATCCTTAAAAACCACGTGAAATACAGGTATTCGGCCCTTGACAATGCTCATAATTGCACTGAAATACACACTTTCAGCTGCTAATCTTGCATTTCAGCATGCAAAAGCACCGAAAACAGCCGAATTTGCAGCATTCATACTATACTTTGCTTACATCGAGCCAAAATGGAGAAGGAGAAGTGAGAAAGAGTAGAGAAATGTGTAAAGAGATGTCAGTACAGCTGGAGATTCGGTCTTCGTGTCGACAAAACAGCTATATGTGCACTGATCGGAGGTCTTGTGCTAGAGCCATATATCAAACCAGTTGATTACAGAATTATAAGATAGGCTCGAGACCCGAACACCGGTACAAATATAGGTTGTTTTCGATTAATATGCATATTTAAATAAGTATATTACCCAAACCCGAAACCCGAAGGCCCTAACCCTAAACCCTAAACCCTATGAAACCCTAAAGTTTCTGGTGCAGGGATGCATATACGTATACCCGATAAACACTATAGCTAGTGACTCTTATCGCCCAAACCAATATGAAAGATCAACTCGATCATTGCATGCTACTATAAAATAGCAGATTGGAGTCAGCTATTGTCATGAGAAGCCTGGCACATGTGCAGGCTGGGGCCGGGGATGCATTGATCATATGGATCGGAACGTGGCAGACTCAGCAGCCGGCTTTAATTGAATCGTCAGCTACTTAGCGGGTACAGCGGGCAGTAGCGGCCCTCGGCCACTTCTCCAGCCAAAAACTCCATAATCTCCTCCCCTCCGGCATATTCGGAAAAGATCTTCGCCATCTCCTGACCATAGAACTCAAAGGGCTGACGTCTTATATAGCAGTTTTATAACAGAAGTATAGTCGTAGTAGTAGTAGTAGTAGCAGTAGTCGTAGCAGCATATATAGCTATAGGATAGTCATCGTCGTAGCATCTAGCTAGGCGGCTAGGGGTAGTACGTACTAGTAGCAGTTTTAAAAGTGCATGTGAAGCTGCAGCAGCAGCAGCAGCAGCAGCAGTACTAGTATTAGTCTATGCTACGTAGTAGCAGCAGCAGCAGAAGGATTTAGTAGCGGTGGCAGTAGCCGTATCTTGTACTACGGTTGATGATAGAAATCCTGCACTACCCATAAATACTTAAATAGTTGATGTATATAGAGGTTCCCATGCAGCAGGATTTATATCATCAACCGTACACAAGCGATATACGTACCACAACGTAGTACCAGCACTGCTGCTATACTTCTGCAATACACGATGCACTATATACTATATATATATATACACCAGCATCTAGTACTACTGCTACTACTACTACTACTACTACTATACTACTACTACGACTACTACTACTGCTACTCCTGCTACTACTATTACTACCACCACCACTACTACTACTACTACTACTACTACTACTACTACTACTAGTACTACTACTACTACTGCTACTACTACTACTACTACTACCACGGCGACGACTGTTACTACTAGTGCTAGGCGTAGACTTACACCAACTGGAAGAAGTACAGCTAGCGGAAGAACTTCCTGAATTTCATAAACAACACACTCCAAGGCTATATAAACCACTTCAAGAATCCCTGCTTTCAAGAATCCCCGCTTTCCCAGGTTCAGCCTTTACTTCTACGAAGGAGATGGCGGGACTGGCAATAAGGTTTAGGGTCCAGGGCGTGTTGATGGGGTTTGGCATCGGCAAGGCTTTAGGACCAATTGTGATAAAGCCATGGGCATTGGGGGTTGTCGGCTAGATTTAGTTTTGGGGTTTTACGAGGGCATCGTAGCATCTTAGGGTTTCCAGTCTCGGTGGGAGGGTTTGGGATCTATATATATATATATATATATATGTATATTGCGCTTTGAAAGGGTTTAGGCTAGACTAGTTCGAGGAGTGAGTGGTTCGAGTTGCGAGTTTGGCACCTCTGGGTTTAGGACAATATATATATATATATATATATATATAGCTTATTCAGGGCTTGGGGTTTAATTACCCTTATTTCAGACACGGGCTAGCATTGGCTTAAGGTGGTTAAGGTTGCAGGTTTGGCGGCTTAGGTTTGTAGGCTGGGCCCCAGGCCTAGGAATCGAAATCTTTCCCGGATGTACTTCCTATATGGGGAGCATGAAGGTGCAGCTGCCACTTCGAGTGGATATCGACGAACTGTTACAAGAGCTCGGCAAGACCCTGGGGGGCTCAGAACCGTAACTGGAAGACCTCATCATGCTGAACGATTCCCAAGCTGGTCTATCTTCGTCAGATAATGGTTGAGTCTGACTGCCCGACTGCCCCACTGCAAACTGCCCGTGGTGGGGACAACACACCGGTCGGTGTCATTCGATGTACGGTGTTCGGCTCCTACGACTACGGTCAGTCTAGAGTTGCTGGACAAAACACTATGATGAGGAAGCTACAAGCCAGTTGCCAACACAACGAATGGCGTTTCCAAAGCCCTGTCGATCTTAAAGCCTGCACATTATAATGTATCCACATTGCGGCTGTACAACAACCTCTAGATCTAGACCTGCCGACAGGTCGTTTGAATTAGCTAACCCAACCCCGTAATCCAAAGGCCCACACATCCAAAGCCCAAACTCCAACAGTCTAACCCCAAGATGCCTCGAACCCTAAAAACCCTCATACTTGCCGCCACAGCCTCCGAATAACCTACACCCGTCAAAAGCACGAAGGATCTAAACCCTGCAAGGCCCGGAGTACTGGTAATCAATAAAATTTATATATAATTAATTCTATATATTATATTCGGGAATTTCGGATCTAGGAGGTCTGTGGGCTTCAGGATCTCTGGGATAGTGTGACATTTAAAGGCACAGGGTTTAGATGAGGTTTGAAAACTCGCCTCCCCAACTCCAAATTCCACAAACCGCTTGCCCTGAGCGTGAACATAATGGCCACCTAGTGCGAGATCCCCATCATCAGTAATTAGACAGCATGCTAATCCACTCGGCCTAAGACAATGCGAGCAGGGTTAAGATAAATCTCAGGGTTTGAGGATAAGCCCAAAAGGACAAACCCCGAATAACAGCTCTAGATCTCTCTAAACCTCGATCCGGAGACCCCTATCATGAATCTGATCCATGATGGCACAAGTTAAACAGCAAGATCTACACAGACTACTCCTGTATAAAGGGGTTCTTGTAAATGCCACCTTGTAAAGCCCGAATACATAGAATTTGTTTATATATACACATAAAAGGACATGCGACTACACCATTGCCACGTTCGTCCGAAGATGCTGGCTCAGGTGCCCCGGGTTTCGCATAAGGACGATCTAGACCCAATCGCGCGTGAGTATTGCACCGAAATTCCGAAACCCCTAAACCCCTACATTCCCTGGTCCTAAACCCAGAAACCCCGAAATTCCTAAACCCCGGAACCCTTAAACTCCTAAACCTCGAAACCGTAAACCCCCAAATTCCGAAACCCCCTTAAACCCCTAAACTCCCAAACCCTGGATTCGGAACCCCTAAACCCCAGAACCCCTAGACACCTAAACCCCGCAACCCCTAAGCTCCTAAATCTCGAAACCAATAAATTAAACTCCTATAATAATTATTATTCGTGCGGATGTGCACGGCGTCGTGATCGTCGTGAGCGTTCGTCTTTCCTTCCTTCAACAGATCAGCCGAACCATGCAAGTCAACAATGATATCCTCGTCGACGGAGTAGATTTTGAACCGTTAGGGCTGCGTATAGGTGATGAACACCGGGGCCATTCAGTACTCGTATGAGTCGCAGTCGCAGGTCAGTAGTGGTAGCAGTCACAGTAGAGCAACAGCAGCAGCAGCAGCAGGAGGAGGAATAAGAGTAGGAGTAGGGGCCGGAGGAGGTGTAGGTCAGCAGAGTAATAGGAGAGTAT